CCCCCCCGCTATTCATCATCATCATCATCTTCTAGATCTATTCTAGATCTATGGGGCTGGCAGCGATGGCAGAGCAGGCGGCGACGACGATAGAGCATATGGCAGTGGTCAAAGCTAGATTCGGATAGATTTGTATTAGATCTTTTTCTTCTCGTTTTGTTTCCTCCTGATTTTTCCCTTCCCTTACTTATTGTGGTGAGTTGCTGAAGAAGATGGTGAGCATAGGCATGATGAAGATGCAGTAGTCGGTGATGGCGTTGGGCAGCGGTGGAGCTGGAGCAATGGTGCATGAGTGGTGATAGGTTGGGGCCGCGGTGGGCAGCGCAACGATGGGCAGAGGTGGGTTGGGGCAGGGGTGGCTTGGGTGAGATAGTGGTGGGGGGCAAAGCAATTCAAGGAAGATATGAGGGTATTTTGGACATTTTAATGTCATAGTCAACGTTCACTAAAAATGAAGAAAACTCAAACTTGGAACGTCTTTCCCAGACGGAGGGAGTAATTATTATCTGAACTCTAATTTTAGGACTTTTAATTTTTCTTTGAATTTGAATAGTATGTTAGTATATACTCTGTAATATCTTGGATATTTGATACTCCCTCTGTCCAGGAATGATGTTCCCATTGCACGTTTTTTCTGTCCGAGAATGATGTTCCCATTGTATGATTTTTCCTCTATTCTCCCAAAATTACCCCTTCTTTATTCTTTTCTTCTTTTTCTTCCTTTCTTTTTTCTCTTTCTTTCTTCGTTCTCCGCCACCCCTTTTCCTCATCCCCAATACATTTTTTCCTTTTTTTCTTCTCTCTTCTCCCCCATCTCGGTTCTTCTTCTTCATCTCTTCAATCTTCTTCTTCTTTCTCTCTATAATCTTTATTCTTCATCTTCCCATTCTTTTTTCTCCTCCATCTTTGATCTAGATTTACACATACCCATGGCGGTGATGGTGGCGGCCGGCGATGGCGAGTCTCCAATTCTTACTCTCTTTTTTCTTCTTTTCTAGCGCCGATGGTAGGGCTGCCGACGGTGGTGGGTTTGTACGTGGCGGCAATGTTGGGGCTACTTTTAGATTTGCAATAGATCTGTCTTTTTCTTCTTCTCCTCGTCCTCTTTCTTCCCCTTTTTTCTCTCTTTTTCTTTTTCCCACATATAGTCATGGTGGAGGCTATGGGCGAAGGTAGGAGACGGCGGCTGAGGTGAACTCGTTTGGGCTGGTGGAGATAGAGGCTGGCGGAGTGAGCTTTGGGCCGGTGGTGGCTGCCAGGGAAGCTGTATTTGGGGGTAGGGATGGGTGGAAGGGCATTTTGGTCTATTTACTCCCTTGGTTAATGCTTCTTAAAAATGAAGAAAAGTCAAAATGGAAACATCATTCCCGGACGGAGAGAGTATTTGATAGCCTATATTATTGTAAGTGTTGTTTATTCTTACAGAAATTCAATTTTTGTAGACTAGCTAACAAAATAATCGTTGTATTGGGCTCCTTGCAAAAACATTTATGGTTTAAGCTATTTGTATCTTAACATTTGTAACCCAATTTGTATAACATAGGTATGCACCTACATTTTGTATCGATGTAATGCTAGGTTGATAGTTTACACAGACATAAAATGTTCGTGTAAATTTTTGTTAACTCACCAGCATTTTGTGATAGTTTGAACTATCAAAATGTTAGTGTATACCTTTGGTGTAACTTTGGGGTACACTTTTTGGTGTAAGTGTAGCATGGTTGAACATTTACTCTCTTGTATTGTCAAAATGCAATCATGCTATTACTCCAATTGCGTCCCCATCTCTGTTCACGCCATCTGCTCCATTTAATTTAGGAATCATATAATATGTTGTTAATCGGGTGCCTCAAATTATGCACTACCTGACTAAACAAAGTTATCATGTCTTGTAGTGCTTTCCCTAATATTTAAAAGGTACTCTAGACTTTAGTTTTCTTTTCCCAAAGACGGGCCTTGATCTATTTGTTTGTTCTTGGTCTGATTTGGCGAATGACAAATATGATAAAAAAAATCTATTACTAGTTACATGTTCATGCTTGGTTCCAATCTCATATCTTGGTGTCTAAAAAAGGACTTTCGTGCCTCTAGATCTTCCACCAGAGCCGAATATCGTACCATGGCTATAGGTGTGGCAGAAGCTATGTGGCTGGGGTACATTATTGATTTTCTATGCACCCCTCCATCAAAACCTTGCCTCAACTGCGACATTGAATACAATATCATCTATGTGGCGAAGAATATCCAGTTCTTTTTTACTATATGAAGCATGAAGCTAAGGTTCACACTTTCATTTTGTGTGAGATGAAGTGATGGTAAGAACCATGATTACTCACCATGTTCGTTCCACTAAGCAGTTAGGAGACATTTTCACAAAACCACTTCCACCGGCTGCATTCTAACTCTTGTGCTCCAAGCGGCTCCTCATCATCATTGATTAGCTTGCAGGAGAAGAATAGAAAACACTATTATATTTACATACGTTTCTAATTTGATTCCTTCTATAATCGTTACTTTATTATGATTAGAAATTTATTTTGTTTTTGCTATATGTAGGAATGAAAACTTCGTTATCTTATAAGACCAATTATATATGTAACGCCCTGAAATATACTCTAGAATTTTGTAATAAATTTCTAATAAATTATAATAAAAGTATATAATTGAAAATGATGTAAATGGAGTAATTACCTATACCAACAAAATTAAATATACTTAAATAAAATTTCATTTTTTAAATAATCAAAAGACTTAGGGCTCCCATTTTTAATAAAAATTAAAATGGAAAAAGAGTATTCAAAATACAAGTTAACTTTTTTTCCACATAGGAGCTGACCGTGCAAGTGAGAGTTAAGACGTGAAAATATATTTAAAAAAAAGTTGGGAGCAATGGTGTTAATTATCAAATACGGGAGTACTTCGCAAAATATGTATTTTTGAAAAAATTCATGATAGTTTTTTCTTTTGTTTGTTTGAAAAATCTATTTCTGCTTATGACATATAACTTCATAGTGCAAAATGAATTCTAAAAGTGTTTTTTGGCAAACTTGAAATTAAATACTTTCGGATTTTGCGCTATGACCTTTGGTTTTTCAAGAATCTGTCGCAATGTCAAACATCCTCTAAAACTATGTAGTACTCCCTTTAAAGGATATGACTTTGTCCTAAAAATATCTTCTTAATTACTATCCACATGGTCAAAATTTATTTAATTTTTTTGTTTTTTATTAGTCATTTGATAAAGTAATGCTCCCTTGATCCATTAATTTCTTTCTCACTTTTCTTTTTGAGTCGTCCTAAACTTTCTTTCATGTTTCCTATTTTGGCACTAAAATTTTAATAAATGTTCGATTATACTCACACTTTTTATTTACACTATTTACTCTATTTCATCACATACATAATTTTTTGATAAAATAAAATATATTTATCACCTCTTATTTTGCAAATTTTTTGGTATATTTTTTTAACATGTAATTTTTATTTTTTTGATCTTAAAATTTGTAAATAAAATCATTTCAGAAAATACAAGATTTTACCTGACAAAACCCAATTTGTAATCAAATCTAGGACGGAGGGAGGATATGATTAATATAGAATACCATTATATATCCAAATTTATAACATATCAGCTGGAACACAACATGGGTGATTTTTTTTATCCAAAATTTTGATTTTCAAACATATTTATTTTGATGATTATTTAATTAAGTGGCTTTTTAAGAATTTAATTTTTCAAACATTTTCCAAGTCTTCTACCTCTTCCTAACGTCAAATCCTAGAATTTTAACCTAAAAGAGCAGGACCTTAATATATGAATTTTATTTTAGAATTATATATATATATATATAATTAAGAATAATTTCAATCAAACTTTATAAACTGAGAGAGAAAATTAATTTTTAGAGAAACTAGCACAACTTTTTTTTGAGTGTAGTAGCGCTAATATATGCGCGCCGCGCACTTGAACTCACTAAATGGGATGCCATTTTAACATTTTTCGGTTTTTTTTGAAAAAAAATATTGTTTCCAAATGTGTGAATCCACTAGTTCCAATAACGACTACTTTTTGAATACAATCAAGTTTCCTAATCTCTATTTGAAATCCACCGCGTAAGAAATAAGCTATATATAAGAGGACTGTGCGCCGCTTTGTGGAGTACAAAATTCGATCAGCGAGTGAGAGCCGGAAAAAATGGCGACGACCACCGCGCGAATCACAGACATCAAATGCTATTCTTCAGCCGATCCAAACTTCGGGCTAATCTTCGTTAAAGCAATCGTTAAGGCGAGGTACAGTATTGGCGAATCCCGCGTGAATCTCAGATTCGATCCCGCCTCAGTTTTGTCTTCCGAGGTACAAGCTTTTGCCTTCTTCTCTAACAAATTGGCCGAGAATCTCGGCCTCGAGTGTGCCCCACTCGCGGCTGCAATGGCCCGCTCTGCTCTCCACACGCGCGGCCCCGGGTTGCTGTTGATGGCTCAGATCGAGGTTGTTCACGCGCTCCGGAGACAAATCCCGCCACCGCCGCCCCGGGCTGAGTTTCTCGACGGCGGGCTCATTCTCAACGCCCACGAAACCGCCGCCCGTTTCCCGACCACACAAAGAGGAGGAGGAGGAGGGGCGATGGCACACAGCCAGCCGCCGCGGTCGCAGCTAGAGGCTGAGCTTCTCGACGGCGGCCTCATTCTCAACGCCGCCACCCTTTTCCCGTCAGCAGGAGGAGGCGGAGGAGGCAGAGGCAGGGGCGGAGGAGAGGGGGGGCATGCCTGGGCAAGTGCCCCCGGCGAAACTCCGGCGAAATAGGATTAGGGTACCCAATCGGCGACGGGAGAACGGATTTGCCCCCCAGATCCGTCGCAGGTCCAGCCGCAGGAACTATCGAAGAACTCTGCCAAAGCCGATCGAAGAAGATGAACTGACGCCGAAGAAATAAAACAAAACAAAGCGACGTCGTTTTGTGAAAAGGGTTTAAAAAAATCCCTTTGACCTAGCCCAAGACTCACTGCGGCACGGCCCAGTAGCCCACAAATCACCATATGCCCAAAAAATAAAAAATACGGAGGATTTTTCTACGGATGATATAAGAAAATACCAATCGCGCCCAAATCACCGTATGCTCAAATCACCACTGCGGCATTAAGCATTATTATTATTGTTATTATCAGTGGCGGAGCCAGGAACTCGTCGTCGGGGGGGCATACAACGGGGTCCGAGGACAGCGTCCGAGATTTTTTTAAATGTAATATAAAATGTTAAAGATATTTTTTTTAATTTCAAATCTTTTAAGTTGCAATATAAATCTTAAACATTTTCATTTAACATAAACCTAAATGGGACTGGCTCATGAGCCTTGAGGATGGGGGTCGTCACTGGAAGAGTTTGTAATTACTCCGTAGTAAATTATTAATTCAACACAAATTAATTTATTACTCTGTCCTTAAAAAAAATTACTATCCGTACAAATTTAACAAATACTCTTTAATAATTATAATAATAATAATAATAATAATAATAATAATAATAATAATAACAATAATAATAATGCTTAATGCCGCAGTGGTGATTTGAGCATACGGTGATTTGGGCGCGATTGGTATTTTCTTATATCATCCGTAGAAAAATCCTCCGTAATTTTTATTTTTTGGGCATATGGTGATTTGTGGGCTACTGGGCGTGCCGCAGTGAGTCTTGGGCTAGGTCAAAGGGATTTTTTTAAACCCTTTTCACAAAACGACGTCGCTTTGTTTTGTTTTATTTCTTCGGCGTCAGTTCATCTTCTTCGATCGGCTTTGGCAGAGTTCTTCGATAGTTCCTGCGGCTGGACCTGCGACGGATCTGGGGGGCAAATCCGTTCTCCCGTCGCCGATTGGGTACCCTAATCCTATTTCGCCGGAGTTTCGCCGGGGGCACTTGCCCAGGCATGCCCCCCCTCTCCTCCGCCCCTGGTTATTATTATTATTATTATTATTATTATTATTATTATTATTATTATTATTATTATTATTATTAAAGAGTATTTGTTAAATTTGTACGGATAGTAATTTTTTTTTAAGGACATAGTAATAAATTAATTTTTGTTGAATTAATAATTTACTACGGAGTAATTACAAACTCTTCCAGTGACGACCCCATCCTCAAGGCTCATGAGCCAGTCCCATTTAGGTTTATGTTAAATGAAAATGTTTAAGATTTATATTGCAACTTAAAAGATTTGAAATTAAAAAAAATATCTTTAACATTTTATATTACATTTAAAAAAATCTCGGACGCTGTCCTCGGACCCCGTTGTATGCCCCCCCGACGACGAGTTCCTGGCTCCGCCACTGGGCAGAGGGATGTCCGAGCGCGAAATATGTTCCCTGAAAAGAGGGCCGTTTGCCGGAGCGGAGGAGGAGGTCTGCAGTATCTGCCTGGACGAGTTCCACCGCGGGTCGTCGGTGGTTACTACCCTGCCGCCGCCGTGCGGCCATGTGTTCCACAGCCGCTGTATCGCCGGGTGGCTGCGCAGGAACAGGACGTGCCCTGTTTGCCGGAGGAGAGTTGCTTAATTGCCGGAATTGATGATTAATTTCCCTCCGCAATGATTTAATTTTGGAATGGGTGTCTGAAATCATGAATTGCCACATGAACAATTCTGTAAATTCCTTTTCCTGGTTTTTTTAGGTTTTAGGGTTTGCAACATGAACTCCATATGGTTTTTTTTTTAGGTTTTGCAGAAATTCTTTGGATTCTTTGGATTGATTGTAAGTTGTTAGTTTTCATTAATGCAATTAGTGTCAAAACTTGTGATTAAGTCCAATTTTAACCAAATTTAAGAGCACACCCAAAACAAAATTACTCATGGGGAGAATCAAAATCTATTCATCTGCCAATTTCGAATGCCCTAAGAATTCTCCAAACAAATCGAGGAACAAATAATGAATCAATTGATTAATGAAAAGAAACGAATAAAGTGCGAGGAGAAGAGTAATGAATCTTCGAAGCATCTGAGTACCGTTCTTTTCTTCAAGATCTTGTGGTTTGCCATTATATTAAATTTAATATAATCGAGTTAACTCGAGAATATAGTTTTGATATATCGTTATTTGAACAAAAAAAATCCAAACTAAAAGTTTTTTCCCAGGAAGATGAAGTATATATTGCGTACTTCTTTGGTTCTCTTTAATTCTTCCTATTTTGACTTGACATGATTTTTAATGTTATTGAAACTAATACAACCCGAACAAAAATGATCTGAAAGTGAACCCACGTGAATCTAAGTGTGACCCGAACTAAGACATCTAATAGGATTAGAACTACGTACAAATCCATTTAGGATCTATTTGGTGAGTGGATAAAATAGGAGTTTTGATATCTCTCGATATTAGAACCCTTTTGTGAGTGTTTGGTGAAACTTAAACATAGGCCATTTTCTCTGATTTGATTAGAATAAATTCTAATCAGATTTGATCTGAATGTAGTTATATTTAAAACTATTTCTGATCTGATTTTGTCTGGTCTGAGTTGAACTGATTCCAAATAGAAAAAGTGATACTCCTTCGTTCCCACAAAAGTATTTTGATATTGACTTTCTAAAAATGCCCTTGGGTGTGATAGGTAAAAGTAGATGTAATGGATAAATTAGTAGTGAGAAAGTGTAATATTATAGATATGTTAAGAATTAAAAGGAACAAGTTTTCTTCTCTCTCTAGCTATGACGAGAAGAAGAGGAAGACTGAAGAAGAAACTATCGAACAACCCTGGACAAGGATTCCAAACACCTGAATCTACACAAAACAGTGATTCGAATCTGCCTTTGGTAACTGATGGAAAAGAAACTCCCGATACAAGTGGATCTGCGGTGGAGAAGCAAAACCCTACGGTGGAAGAAGCTCTTGAAAACAAGGATATACCTGAAGCATCGGTGAAGAGTGGGAATCCGAATCAGAGATCGACAGATCGTATGCTAGTGTGGTTGGGAACCAGGATGAGCTGAAGTACATCCCAGCTATAGAGGTAAATGGAAACTTTGTGGCAAAATTAATGAAAGATGACATTATAGACCTGCTCCTTTTGGGATGCTACCTTAGTGTGTTGCATATTGGGTGCTAATCCACCATTAGAGGTGGTAAAGGGATTTGTAAACAGAATATGGCAATCCTACTCTATTGAAGATGTATCTCTTTTAAAGGAAAGCTAGTTTATTGTTTCTTTCAAGAATACTGCTGATAGGGATGAAATTGTCAAGAGGAGATGTAACGCCCTGAAAACTGGCTTAGTAGTCAATCCTTATTTTAATGAAAATAAATAAATAAATATACTATTTATTGACTCCAAATATGAATTATTCGTAAGGTTGACCATTTAAATTAAAAATTAGGTTTTCGGATAGGTCTCGAGAAAAGGCGACCAACGACATATTATTTGTTAAGTTTGGAATTTCGTGTGAACCGTGGTGAGCGAAATAATCAATACAGTTCAAAAAATTAATGTAAAGAGATTTATAATATAATAATAACAATAATAAATAAAAGGATTAAGCTATGTGTACCCCAACACTTATACCCCAATTTGTACCCCAACACTAATACATTGACACCAAAAAATATACACCATTTGTACACCACACTTATGCACAAACATTTTGAGGGTTTACACCGAGACAAGTGTTGGTGCGTTAACAAAAATTTACACGGACACAAAGTGTTGGTGCGTTAACAAAAATTAGTTTTACACCAACACAAAATGTTGGTGCAAACTTGTGGGGTACAAATTGGGGTATAAGTGTTGGGGTACACATAGTTTAAGGATTAAGCTATGTGTACCCAACACTTTTAACCCAATTTGTACCCCACAAGTTTGCACCAACATTTTGTGTTGGTGTAAAACTAATTTTTGTTAACGCACAAAAACACTTTGGGTCCACAAATATAAATGGTCCTACCTTCTTCTTCTTCTCACGCAACTTCCGTCCAGAGCAGAGGAATCGCCCGGAAGCTTCGCCGGACTTCCGTCCAATTGAGGTGAGTGATTTATCTCTCGTTAGTTGGTAAACTAGGATTCGTTAATATATTTTCATTCAATTGTTGTTGAAGGCTAAACTCCACCACTGGTCCTTCAACTTTATCAATTGTGCACGATTGGTCCTTCAAGTTTTAAAAGTCCATAAATAGTCCTTCAACTTTATTAGTTATGCACGATTGGTCCTTCAAGTTTTAAAAGTGCATAAATAGTCCTTCAAGTACACGTCAGCCCTCCAGATGAGATCCTTTTGACAGTAAACGTTAAAAGCTAAATGGAATACTAGCTCCATATAATACGGAGTAGTCGTACCTAGTGGAATTTACTCGTATTATATGAAACTAGTATTTCGTTTAACTTTTATATTTACGGTCAAAAGGACTTCATATGGAGGGCTGACGTGTACCTGAAGGACTACTTATGGACTTTTGAAACTTGAAGGACCAATGGTGCAGAACTCATAAAGTTGAAAGACTATTTATGGACTTTTGAAACTTGAAGGACCAATCGTCCACACCAATGATGGATTTTAGCCTGATGTTGAATTCGTAATTATGATTGATTAATTGTGTTTGGAATTGGATCTATTGGGTGTGGGAACTTGGATTTGAAACTTGAAATTTGTTGCTCTGCTCGATCCTTTCTCTGTTCCGATTCTGTTCTCCCTCACCCCTTTTCTTACTGAGTTCTTCTGCTCTGTTCGGTTCCTGCCTTACCTCTGTATTGTTGATGGTGGAAGGAAGGGACGACGCTGTAATCTCGTTGTTGTTTTAAATAGTTACTACCGGAAGAGAGGTGTTGCTGCTGCTACTCTGGTGTTGGTTAACACGTCTTGTACGCTGGTGATTTAGCACACCACCATAGAATAAAATTATTCACTTATCATGATTGGAAGGCTTAGAATACTACTTTACTGGAATTGAATTGGGATAAGGGTTATAAGACATGGCCCTCCATGATTTGTACTTGAGATGGTATAATTGTTCATGGGGTGTTTGTTTTGGAATCTTATACAAAACAAATAGTAGTTTTTGAAATGCTACCACATGAGTTCGGGGTATATGTTTCTTGTTATTCTGAAGCTTATTGATGATACATTTGTGTTGAGTTGTAATTGCGAAATAGGCCACCTAGTTGTACTAAGCGATTCTGAATTGAATTAGGAATTTAAATGACTTATGAGGAGTTGAAATCTAAGGTCATGCAGGTGTCGGCGTACATCTGATGGTCTCCAGGGTAAAAGCGTACGTACGAGAGTCCGTAACCTGCCTCGGCACCTCCGTGGTAGGGGCTCTAACCCGCCCAATTGGACACCTTCCATTGGGTTTACAAGCTTGGCCTCTTGGACACCTTTCCAAGAGTGTCCATGACTAGTGTGTTGGTTAGACTTTAGTCGAATATGTTAAGTTTAGTAACAATATACAAGGATTTGAAACGAACGGACGTATGGACAAACGAACGACGAATTATACTATTTGATAATTATGATTACTGATTCTTCTGATATTGTATGATTATATGTTAACGGGTGCTAGTTTATGAGTTAGTTCTAGCGTTGGATACTTCCACTCTCCCTATTTTTACATGTAGGGATCAAGGATTGGATGAGGAGCAGCCTGGAGGACAGTGAAGCATGACGCTGGTGGATGGCCCGAAACTGTTTGAAATTGAATTGAACACTTGTTGACTTTTATTTTGTTAAACTACAAGAATGTTGACGACGTTGTCTTAAAGGCTTCCGCATTGTTTGAATTATTTACTCCGATTATTTATGAATTGTTTTTAAATAAATGTGAATTGATATTTCATATTTTTTAATGTTTTAAAATATTATGCATGTGAATACCAAATTAATAGCAACCCGACTCGCTAACTCGTCTGTTCGGGTTACGCGAGTTGGGGTGTTACAGAAGATACTACTACTTTGACAATAAATCTGTTTTGGTTATGAAATGGTATCGTGTTATGAAGATTGCTCTTGACTAGCTAGATGACATCCCAATATGGATACAAATGCCGGAGTTAGATATGAAATATTGGAGCTTATCTGGACTCAGCAAGATAGGGAGTTTGATAGGGAAGCATGTTAAGAGAGATAAACCTACTGCATAGAAGACTAAGTATGCATATGCCAGAATCCAAGTGGAAGTCAAGGTACAACAAAACTTTCCACAAACAATTACATTCATAGATGATGAGGATAGGGTGATGACCCAACAGATTAATTATGAATGATACCCCTGCATATGTTCTCAATGTAGGAAGATGGGGCATATGCAAGAAACCTGCAGGAAGAAAGGAGAAAGAGCTAACACAGTTAAAAGGAAATTGATCTGGAAGCCTAAGGAGACTATGGGGAAAAGGAAGAACCTAAAGTTGCTGAAAATAAGAACCCTAGCACAGAAGAAGAGAAAGAGAAGGGGGAAAACCCAGAACATACTGAGGATGGTTTCACTGAAGTTACTGGTAAGAAAGCTGGAAAACAGAAGCTGATTGAGAAACCTGAGACACGAATTGCAGAGCTAATGAAGATTATGGAGAAAGCCCCATATAGTGGGCACTATCCCTTTCTAACATGATAGGAAGTTGGAATATTAGGGGACTGAATAGCCCCTCAAAATAGGAAGAAGTTAAGAGAATAATTAATAAATTTGAATTAGGAAGGATTGGACTTCTTGAAACCAAAATAAAAGGGAATAAGGTTGAGGAGTTTGAGAATAAATTAGTCCAAGGATGGGGCTCATTTATTAATGCAGATGCTCATCATTTGGACAGAATATGGGTAGTATGGAATAAAAGTCAATATGATGTTCTTATTCTTGAATGGAGTGATCAGCTAGTACACCGCCAAGGAAGAATCATTGGAAACAATAGTATATTTCATCTTACTTTTGTTTATGGCCATAATAATCCACAAGACAGGAAGAGGATTGCTGGCAATATCAACACTGGATGGGGTATTATTGGAGACTTTAATGTTGTACTTAGATTGAATGACAGAATTAGGGGAAATAATATTACTGAAGAAGAGACTAAAGATTTTAAAGATTGCATGCTAGCCTGTGGGATGGAAGAAATCCCTTGGGAAGGCAGCTATTATACCTGGAGCAACAAGCAAGGACCTGGAAACACAATTATGTCATAGAGCCCTATCAAACATGGACTGGATGATCTAGTTTGGTGATAAGGTTAGGGTAATTGAAGAAAGAATATCTGATCACTGCCTCCTTCTGTTAAAAGTTCATGATACTAGAAGAAGGAATATTGGTTTCAAATATTGTGACATGTGGGAACTTGATTCCCAAAGTAAAAAAGATACTTCAGGAACTGTGGGGAAGAGACAGTCCAGGAAGATAAATTTTCCAGTTGATCAACAAACTCAAAGATCTCAAACAACCTCTTAAGTAGATCAACAAAAAGTTCCAGCCTATTCATCAAAAGTGTGATATCATCAGAGAGGAACTTAATGAGATCCAAAGGAAACTAAAAGAGGATATCAATAACCCAGTCATGATCAGTAAGGGGAAGGAATGCTTGAAGGAACTGATGATTAAACAAAAAGCATCCTACGTAATGAAAACTCAACAGGCCAAGCAAAACTGGATTAATGAAGGAGACCAGAGCTCAAGGCTCTTTTTTGCATGGATTAAGAAAAGATCAATCCATAACCAGATTATTTTTATCACCAATGAGAATGGAAAGAAGGTGGAAGGTATGGGCAAAGTGGCAGAGGTGATGGTGAGCTATTTCCAAAGGATGCTTGGGAACAGATCCTGGATTGATCCCATCCAAGAAGAAATTATCCGCAAGGGCCCTTGTTTAAACATTGAACAACAACTTCAGCTTGTGGACCATGTATCCCCTGAAATGATTAAAAAGGCACTTTTCTATATACCCAACAGCAAGAGTCCAGGGCTTGATGGGTACAACAGTGGTTTCTTTAAAAGAAACTGGAACATTGTAGGAGATCTGGTGATCAAGGCCCGAATTACAATGACGTATGTATATCGACCCGTTGAGTGTATTAGTATTAAGTGTAGCAATATAATGCCTAATACTCCCTTCGTCCTAAAACATTGGTCACATTTCCTTTTTCAACCATTACGAATTTTTTTTATTATTTGTACGTTTTTATTGATTATTTGATGAAATAAAATATATTCTTGACACGTCTTATTTCGAAGAATTTTCATATAGTTTTAAATATGTAAATTTTATTTTTTATTTCTACACCAATATTTAAATAATATAAATTGAAAAAACTTGATATTTTGTCTCGTTTTACGAAATATGGTAAACATATAAGGACGGAGGGAGTATATATACATTGAGGTCCCGGGACTCCGTTGGACTCGAAATAGGTCCGCCTCTGCAAGCATTAGAAAAGAACCATTGGTGAATGCCGATCTCGTCCCTCCATCGCCTTCCGCACCTTTTTGTGAAAAAGACTAAAGTATGAGTAAAACATTAAAAAAAATATCTAAATAGAAGTTCTATGTTTTTTTCCTGAAATAGGAGTTGAAATGCATTTACATTACCAATCATGACCATGTACATTACGTAAAATGCACATGTACAGTGGTACATTACCACAGTGGGAACACCTATTTAGAAAATAAAAATATGTAACTCTTATTTTGATACTTTCTCCATGTTTTACTTCTTTTTAAAGTGATTTCTTCACCTTTTTCTTCCTTCTCAGAGTTTTTCTCAATTTTTTTAGACTTCTCTCAAAAGTAGAAAAAGGAAAATGAATGAAATATGACTTGAAAAATGACTTATTTTTCGAATTTTGAATATTTCATGGTATCAGAGCCACCGCTCTTGGTGACCAAAAAAAAAAGTTCTTTGCTCCCACCGCCGCCGCCGGTAATTCCGGCGACGGCAACTCCCTCCTATTCACCTCTATTTTCTTTTCCATCTTTTATCCTCAATTCAACACCGAACTTTTCTAGAAACCAAGTGTCACTTGATTAACTTAGGCCGCCTCGTAAAGTGATTTTTGCTAATCAAGGTTGTCAAACTGATTTTGTTAAATAACCTTCGTGTTACTGCAAGATTGTTACGGTGATGTTTTCCACAAATCTTAATGCACTATTCTTAGTAGTAATCTAAGGGTTGGTCTTTAGGTTGCTAAGGGTAGTAGGGTTTAGAGTTAGGGTTGATCCTAACATGAGCTTTTATGAACGGGAAAATAGGGAAGAGCCGTTGATGGACCTCTTCTTCAGCCTAACCCTTGTTTTAATTTACAGTTGGTTGATGATTATGCTAGTTTTTATCAAAGTTTTGATCTTAGATATTTATTTTCTATATAAAACAATTTGTTGATTTTCTAAAATTGTTTAAGTCTTTAAATTATTGTGTTATGTTTGTTTGTCTTCTTTGTTTGGGCTTCTTGGTGGAGTTATGTTATGTTTTTATCCTTGATTTGTTTTGAGATTTGTTCTGGTGTGGTGTGTCACTTTAGTTAGTTTTCTACTTTATTTAGAAAAAAAATTTTCAAACCCCCCCTTATCTTTTAGTTTAGTTTATAGATTTTAGATAGTTGTTTTTATCCAATAAAAAGTGACAAAGTAAACTGATTTTCATAGCCTAAAAAATATCTTGCCTCGTGGGATCGACCCTTACTTATCCTATCTATAGATTTAATAAATATTATTTTTACAAGAAGGAATTGAGTAAAGGAAAATAATTAATTAATTTTTTAGGTGCTACGACACGCCTAACATAAACATTATAATGGATTGGCCTTAGACGAAGAATAGTTTAAGGATATTGTTGAATGTTGAATATGAATGTTGAATGATGAATATTGAATATTGAATATCTAAACTGAACATTATGTGCATGGTATCAAATGATTTTATTATGAATTGAGATTCAATTTATATGGATGTTCGACTCATTAGATATGCTTACTCCGCTTCAACGCTGAGCGTGTACTATGTTTTATTGGCTACACGCAGGTTAATAGAAAGAATGAGATGACGTGACCCTGGAGGCAGACAAAGGCGAGATCGTCGGAAAGGATGTGATGGTTTTGAATTAAAGAACATAAATAAATTATGTTTGTGATTATGATTTGTTAAGCTTCCGCAATATTGATAACTCCATATTGTTATGTTCTGAAAAATATTATTGTGATAAATAAAAGTGTTGAAATGTTTACGATTACCAAGTTTATACCTTAGTCCAAAAGGGGCGGCAGACTTGGACGGATTAGGGTGCTACAATTTGGTATCAGAGCAATTGGTGTTAAACCCGATCTTCTGATCAAAATTTGATTTAAAAAAAATGTCAATCACATTCACGACTCTCGCATCCCTCTGCTCCAGGAAAGGTAATAAAAATTTACTTGGTAAATATTGACTGTGTTAAAATTTTCATTAGATAACAATTGTTAGTACTGAAATTATATCGAGCATAGACTCAAGTTGAATTTTCGTACTCGGCAAGAGACGAAAGAATAAACGAAAACTGTATGACTCTCTGATCTGATATCAACGTGTTTATCGCATCGCGAATGACGAAATTAAAAATTATCTGCGTGAGAACGAGAAGATCCTGAAGAAACGATTAATGTTGATATTTGAGCAAGTATGTGGATTCGATGTCAAAGATCCTCATGTGGACTCAACACGATCTGATCGCTGATTCAAACGCGAACATTTAGAATCAATAAACTCTGTTATCTAAAGTATGCCATTCTGATGTCTAATTCATTACGATACAATATGCGCTTATATCATGTCAATCGAAATCATTCGTTAAGCAACAATCCCTTACAAAACCTCTTTGAAATACCATACAAGAAAATTGACATTTTCCTTAGTATGAATTGGCTGACTGAACATCGTTGTAGTTGACAACTTGTGATGAAGAATTCTTCAATAGAGGACCGATGATGGTAACCTTATAGAGGTGAAAGAAAAGTGGAATTCTAAACTGACCGAGTTTATCTTGAATATATACGTGAAAACGTCTCAACCGTAAAAAGTGTGAGGTCTATTCGTGTGATACGTGAAAAGAAACCTCTGAATCGATGGACGTACCGAAAGTATGGCACCTCTCTGATATGAACTTCCTATATATTTCATCGTTTCAAAAAGTTGACTGGTCTATCATTATTTTTCCTAGAAAAGACCGAAAATCGTAACTCCATATTGAATGTCGTTCCTTGAGATTGAAAACTCAACTATAAGGATTGTTTGACAATGAATCATCTCACCAAGTGTTTTCTCCTTGAGAGAGTACCTGTTCTGTTAATAGGCGAATAAAGATGGATTGATGAGACTCTGTATCAATTACCGTCAGCTAAACAAAGTCACAATAAAGAAAATTGTTATCCTTTACCTCGTATGGATGACTTATTTGATCAACTTAGAGGATCCATTATGTTCTCTAAGATTGACTTACGGTGAGGATACTATCACATCTCTGTTAAGAAAGATGGACAAACTGACGATCAAGAATCGTTACCCTTTACTACGTACTGACAATTTGTTCGGGTCAAATTCAAAGAACCTACTTGATAAAAACTATAGTCAACTCAACCTTGTTGAATAAACTGATGCCTTTTTATGAAGCAATTAATGATTTAATTGCTTATCGTCAAAAATATCGTTGTAGTCTGATTCAATAAATTAAATAGTGAAATGGGTGTGATTTAAATTTATTTTTTTAGGAGAGTTGAGAGAGCAAGATTTTTTAAAGAAAGAAAAAAGTTTTGATTTAAATAGTGAAATGGGTATGATTTAAATAATTATTATTAAAAATGGTAATGTAAGCATTAGATGAAGTAGGTAGACCGTCTAGTATGATCGGCAAGAGAGTAAACTGCTTTACCGAAACCATTTGGTACCAAATGGTAACAGGTGGTGTTACCCTCTTTACCAAAATGCCATATCACCCTATAGTGATACCAAATTACTTTTACATTCGAGAAATGCTAGATTCAGAAACAAAATTGTCACAAAATTACAAACTTACTATTTGTGAACTTCAATAAAAAAAAATTTAAATAGTTTAAAATTATTTTAATATAAAAATGTATACCATAAATGGTTTGTTTAATTTGTGATCATTCTGTTTGTGAACGTAACATTATTAATTGCTTTTTACAACCTCCACACGGTGCATCCTAAATTGATCAGTGAGCATTACATACCCTACACTTTCCATAGAGGAATTTACCTAAATGACATTAAAACATAATTACTTCCCTTAAATAGTATTCCATATCATATGTTTTTATTTTCTAAGAGTAAATTCCATAAAAGGTCCTCAGTTATAGGTCGTTTTACATATTTAGTCCCTACATATCAAATATTACTAATTTAGTCCTCAATTATTATATTCATTTCCACGAATGGTCCTTTGTTAACATTTTCGTTAAGAATGTGGATAAAATTATAAATTCGCACTCCTTTCTCTCCTCAATTAAGCTTCCTTCTTCCCTTGCACTCCTATTCCAAACCCGTCGCTCAGTTTCTAGCTTTGAACCAAAAACCAAAATTATCACTCTTCTCTCAATTGTTTATCTAATTGGATGAATGATCATTTAAATTTTGGATTTAAGAGCTTAAATTCAGTGACGAGTTTGGGAAAGAGTATGAGAAGATGGAAGAAGCTTAATCGAGGAGAGAGAAGTATAAATATACAATTTTGTCCACGTTCTTAACGGAATTATTAACAAAGGACCATTCGTGAAAATGAATATAATAATTGGGGACTAAATTAGTAATATTTGATATGTAGGGACTAAATATGTAAAACGACCTATAATTGGGGACGTTTTATGGAATTTACTCATTTTCTAATGTAGCACTTTTAGTCATTATCCATTAGTCATTATTCAAGTAAATCTTCACCATCACTAGACATTATTCGTCGTTTTAGATATTATTAAATGCTATTTAGAAAAATAAAAAAGTTTAAATATTATATTGGGAAATGATTTATATTTTAGCGTTATTTAGTGCAAATATTTCTTTTTTTTAATATCCATCTTTTGTCTACCCTTGTAAGTTAGTACTTAGTAGACGATGACCAAGGCAGAGCTTGTTACGTTGTACGGGTATCCCAGTGCAAGAATAAGCTTCTTGCATGTCAAGCTATTGCTGTATGGTAAGACGAGGAAAGAAGCATCGGAGAATGGACGGCGGCGATCTCCTCCAAACGCCACTACTTCCGGCGGCCGTCTTGAACACAACACGCAAACATTTAGCTACCAAATCTCTGCACTCATCATCAAACAATAATGTTCCAATAACAAGAAACAGAGATTCTAAAGAAGACGACGACAAGATTTTCAGTTACCCATCACCGCAGCCACTGCTCGGTGGGGAAACAGCCGCGCCGCCGCAGCCTGAAACTCCTGACGGCGTTATTGGATTCGAGCTTTCCTGTACCGTGGCCTGGCGCGCCGCTCTTTTGAAGGAGCGTTTTGCGGGCACAATCTCCAAGGCAAGCAGTCAACTGCGGGGCTGTAACCACCACCAACACGGTGGCCCAGCGGCGGACACCCGACTTGAGGCTGTTGATCAGATGATGATGAGAAGCCGGCGGCGGCAGATAGAGAGGGAGCGGAACGCCGCCAGGGCTGCATTGGAAAAGGTTCAAAAGACGGTTGAGTTTAACGATACTATAATGACTGAGTTTGAGAATTTAATAACAATGAATTGCAATTAGTTCTTATTTAGTGAGTGTATTACTCCTTTGTATATACTCCATTCCTCTTAAAATTTTCTTCCCAATTCAATTTACGAGATTTAGCTCAAATTATTTTTAATTCAATTTATTAAATTATAAGCGTAAAATTAAAATATACTTCTTCCGTCCCAAAAAGAATGGAACGGTTTGACTTTTTGGGAAATTAAGGGAGGGATATTTTGGTATTGACTTTCCAAAAATACCCTTGATGTGATGGGTAAAAATAGGATGTGATGGGTAGATTATTAGGAAAAAAGTATGATGTGATAGGTAGGGTATGAAAAAGTAAGTGATAAAAGTGGTTTTTTAATAGAAATGTAACAGACTTTACGGGACACAGTTTTTTCTAAACGTAACAAACTTTTTGGAATGGAGAGAGTAAAAAAATATAGAAAAAGTTCTACAAAACAAGAAGTTACATCACCATATTATTTTATCAAATAACTGATAAAAATAGGTAAAAAAATTAAAGCGGTTAAAATATGACCATGTCAACAGTGTCTCAAAAGAAAGTTTTAGAACATTAGCAATGGCAAGGCAAAAATAAAATGTCACACGGTGACATAAATATTTCAACCAATAAAAAATAATCCAGTCACCGTGTAGCAACTGAGTGGAGTTTCGTAACATACAGCGGCAAGTCATTGTTTTTGTCTATTTTTGCACTATTTAAGGATTTTTAATTATCAAAAATTATTTTACACATCTATTTTATTATTAAAATATGTCTACTTCTTTTAAAAATATACTTCTTTTTAAAAATTAAAAATATTAAAAATATTAAAAAAAATAGGAGAGTCATGCCTAGCACATGGAATGAAAAGTGAGGTATAATGGCCAAGGAATGCCAATATGCCATGATTTGGGTGGTATTTGCTGACATGGCTAGGTAAGGCATTGCTTTGTCTTACCATTGTGAATGCTCTTAGAATGGAGGAGGAAGTATAAATAATTTTATTAGGTTTGTGTTATTAAAAACATTCATAATTTTATTTTATTTCATTATGCTAATTAATATTCAACACAAATTAATAGTAATTGAAGATAAAAGTTCATCTAATTTGATGTAAAAAATTTAAATTGAACGAATATACCATAACAGAGATAGTATATATGTTTTTTATGTTTAATAAAAAAGTGATATTATAGATTTATGGAGATGAAAGAGAATAGAAATTATCACTTATTTCATTTCTTGTAAGGAATGAAAAGTCTATTTTGGAAAAACAAAAAAGAATAGTAGAACGATTAATTTTGGATGAAGGGAGTAAATGAAATTGAAATTGGTGAAGTTTATTCTATCCCTCCGATTTTTGATAATCCGTCCCTTTCAATATTCGTCCAATTTTAACTTTTTCTAGTTAACCAGAATTAACTTTTAACTTATATATAAATAAAAATCAAGTAATATATTAATTAGATAAAATTATATTTTAAAAATATCTTATAAGATAAATCTAATTAAATTATTCTTGTATCAATATTTAATAAAGATTATATTTAATTACTAGTCAAATTTTATCACTTGTTACTAAAAAAAATATCAAAATTAAACAAACACTCAACTATCATATAAGAATAGGAAAAATTATTCAAAGGTTGAGTCGATTCATTTCCTTAACCACGATATGGAGAATTGTCAACTCTCCACATGGCCCGGAGTCATGCAATTCAAAGGCCCATTTTGAAATTGCTTTTGAACCCCAACTCTCTAATCAAGCATGAAAACGCATTTCCAGTATATAAAAAGTTTATACGGAGTAAAAGAAAGAACATGTTATGCATTCAACTCTCATACATGATCTAATCACAAATGTGTCAATAAATTATGTATTTGAATAGATTTTAATTCCTAATGATGAACATATTCCACAGATTTCCATTACCTTCTCAAAGCAATAACATTTTTTTCCATTCACATATATGAACACAACATATTTTCAATAAATCAACAATTATTTTTTAGCTTAAACAACCTCAACTTAATAAAAATAACAAACAAACACACAAGGACATGAACAATCACATAATAACGAATTCTAAGGAAAAATGGCCAATTTATGAGTCTAAGAAGTCCATAAATCTTAAAATTAACAAAAACAAATCATAGGAAAGAGGGTTTTTGGCAGTGCGCTGCTTTTAATAATTTAGCTTCTGCTTTCAGTCGAAGTGATTTTATAATTGATTCTTTATAATAGGATATTTTTCATTTATAGTCATATATTACCAAAAGATACGTTTGTGGTCCTTCTAGGAGTCATGCTCTTTTTTGACCTTCTGCTATATTAGCATTAAATTGAGGACTAAAAGTATAAAAGAAGCCTCTTTGGATGAAATTAATAAATTAAATATAAAAATATCAAAATAGAAGTTTTAAATCTTTTAAGACCAAAATAAGAATATAATGACAATGTGATATAAGGGTACGCATTGGAAGTGTAATGGAAAAGTGATGACAATGTAATACTACCTCCGTCCCATTTTATAGCGCCTGTTTCGGTTTACGATGTTTGACTGAAATTATTTTCAAACCATTTTATATGACAAATGGCATAGAATTAAAAAATAAAAATTACATATTAAAAAACTACATCAAAAGATCTACAAAATTAGTAGTGACAATAATATTTTATTTTATCAAATTGCTAACGAAAATAGAGAAAGAAAGTGAATGAAGTTTGACCCTGTGAATAGTAAACAAGCATTATAATTTGGGACGGAGGGAGTATCATAGTAAGTGTCATCCGTGAATTGTCAATGATCCGTGGTGGCACACTAGTGACAAAGGACGATAGATGATGGTGCAACAGTGATAGTGTGACATTTACAATGTACTGAGAGTGATAGTGTAATAATAATGACAGTGTAAATTTCTATTTTGATCTTAAAAAATTTAATTTTTTTATTTTAGTATTTTCGTAACTGTATACTCTTATCGCATCAACCATATGTCTTTCTTGTTATAGCAAATGTCAAATTTCATTGCTGGCATGTTATTTGTTAACTGAAGAAGTTTCCACCGTAATCATAGTTTACAAATATCGCGTCTTAACAAAGTCCTAGTCCACCGTCATAGTTATTACTGTTGTATTACCCCTCAAATCAACATCAAAACACATCACTGGATATAAGGTTAATATTATACT